GTGAGTTCCATGGGCTGGGGTGCTATAGATGAAAACAGTGTGTTTATGCCAAGTTTTGTTGCCATCCACCAATCTCCGATTTCTCTCTGTTGGTAACTCAGTCCACACTTCTTCCCAGTGTAGTTTCTCCCACGCCTTAACATTTGCCCCTGATATTGCCATACAAGCTGCAGCTGGTGACCCTCCTCCATAACAAGGGTTGGTCAAATCCCCAGCAATTTGGTACTCCAATATGAGTACATGCCGTGAGGATTTGTTGGAAGACCTTATTTCTTCGACTTTGATTGATTGAATGGAAGAACCGAGAAATGATGAAGAATCATTGGCTTGATAAAAATGCAACCATAGGCAGTGAGCAACATGTAGTATTCCTTGCAGTTCTAATCCAGGTAGAAGTTGATTTTCGGGTAATAATTACTATCATTGGAGTTGATGTGTCTCTTGTAAGGATTGCGAAGGTCCATTATGTATTATATTAAAGCTACCTTTGCAGAGGAACCTACTGATGAGAAGGCTCCTTATAAGAGGTCATATAAATAGTCATATAATATATAAAGATATAAACCCTGCCCGTGACTACTAAACTCTGAAGTTTAGTAATAATCTCTTTGAATAAGGATACCTCCTTTAAATCTATTTGCAACATTCTTCTTTCACACTAGTTTCCAATTCTCACAGATCATAGATCCTTATATCTCTCCATTGACCTGGCCTAATATAAACTGGACTAAAAAAAAAAAAACCCTCTGGCCAACACCAAAACCCCCTGCTATTTGATTTTGGTTAGGAGAATGCTAAAGTTTATATTTAACTACTACCTAAGTAGTTATTAACTGGCTTTCTTATCTTATTCCTCCTAGGTCTCCTAGATTACCTAGTTAGCCTATTTAATAAGCTCCTACTTACTATATTAGTAGGGGCTAACTACTATAGGGTTAATATAATAAATATAGATTTCTAGATTACTATATTAGGGGGTTACTAGTACTAGTAAGCTATCTATACTAGTATAATAATTTATAGTAAGTATACTATTGGTAGGGTTTAGGGTTAGGGTTAGGGTTAGGGTTTAGGGTTAGGGTTAGGGTTAGGGTTAGGGTTAGGGTTAGGGTTAGGGTTTAGGGGTTAGGGTTAGGGTTAGGG